CCTGGCTCCCTCCTCTGCCCCGCCTGCCCCGGGGAGCCCTGCCGCCCTGGGCCTGGCACCCCCGCCGTCGCCCCTACGGCAGGCCCCCCTAGCCCGCCTGGCCCCGCGCCTGGGACGTCCGAGGGGGGGAACTTTCCGCCTCCTGAGTGTCCCCGGGGCTGGTGGGACCGGCGCCGATCGAGCCGGGCAGCCAGGGCCAACACTTGGCTGGCTGGTTCCTCCCCGGCCTCAGAAGCCCGAGCTTCAGCCCAAATTGCCAACCGATAGATCCTGTTTTGATTTTGTTTTGATTTGCTGTGTGCCTCCCCTCCCCAGCCCTCTATCCCTAAGTCCTCGATGCTTTCGTGTGAACTTGCAGCCGTGCAGGTGGCCGCCTGCTTCCTCCGAAAGCGCTACAAACCCGAGAGGCAGGAAGAAACTTTCTTGAATGGTTATGAAACGAAGATGTGTGGGGCGACCGTAAGGAGGGATGTTGCTTCATAAGGCGGAGATGCTCTCGCTTCTTGTTCGCACACGCATCTGGTTGTATTCATTTGAGCCTCGGAAGGAAACATTTCCCTGGGAAGAGGAAAGAGTGTATCACACCAGCAACTGCAGCTACATACTTGCAGGCCCATAATAAGTTCGCTGTTTCGCTAGTTAAACTCCACAGTTTTTGTTGTTTCCCCAGAGATTGAAAGAATGAAGTAAACAAGAAGGTATTTTTCTGAGAATCTGTGGCTCTATAAGAAAAAAGCAGACTTCTGCTCAAAAGTAATCTGGAATGGTGAAAGCAAAGCTATTTTTAAGCCAACATGTTAAAATAGGATATTTTTACAACCAGTGCAAAATGCTGGTAGGTCAGAATTTGAGTGCAGCTGAAAAAGCAAAAAATTCATTAAATCAAACAAATGAAAGGAGTAAAAGATAAAATCACTCAGTCTTAAAATATTTTTGCCATTTAAATACAGTAATGCAGACAAAATACATTGCTACTATTTTATATTATATGCTCATGTGTTTGAAAATTAAAAGCTTATCGCCCACCTCCCCCAAAAGTTGGTAGGTACATAACCATTCTGTATATTCCTGAAGTTTGCAGCATATTGATTTGGAAGATGGCATTTGATTTGCCACAGGTGCTTGAAGGTGTTTCTTTGGACTCTGCACAGAATGGAGGAAAGATTTATCTACCTCATATAAGCATGACTTATCTATACTACTCCAGAAACTTTTACAAGCTCTGTGCCTTTAACTGCTTTTTTTCCTCTCAGTTCAGGGATTTGTGGACCAGCTTACAGTATTGAATGGGTCAAGACATGTCTACCCACAGTGCTTTTACAGGAAAAATGTCACATTGCATGTATTTTTAAAATGTGTAATCATGTTATATTAAGTCATAATCGAATGCTAGCATATTTTGTAACCTATGTGTGTACTCAGTATGTGGTTTTAAAATATTCAGTTCTGAAAATGAACTCCTTGAAAAACAACATAGACACTCACATGCTGAATTTCTCCACACATTTGACCTTTTCTAAGTAATTTCTTGGACATTCTGCATTACCATTGGTACAAGATTGGAGGGCCCTGTTAATATAATTTTATAACAATTCCTGAAAAAGCACGTCCTGGGTAAATTTTACTTTGTACCTATTGCACATTGCAATAGAGATAGTACATTTTCTGATGAAGATAATATTTTAAAATTTAATATGGTTTTAAATACGCCGGAAAGGATCTATAAACCTCAGTCAATGGAGATCAGTTAGCATCAATTATACTTAATAACTATGTAAGTTATATGAGAGAGAATGCTTGCTTATCTCCTATTTATAACCTAAAGAACTTCAAAGTTTAAATCAACTGTTTTCACCAATGTTGATGACTAAATTACTGCCCTTTGACTCAAATGACACTTACGTGATGCTACTGGTTTCATTTTTAGGACAGCCTTAGTGTTCCTTATTGTTTTCAATGTCAATACATTATAGTTACTATGGAGATAGCGGGAATCATCACTAACAAATTATCGTATTCATTATTATGTTGCAAATGAATACAGCTCATTCCGTTGCTGAGATGAACATTTCTTTTCCCAGACAAATGAAAAATTCTTATGTTTTTACTTTATTGTTGCTTTTTGAATGTTTTTAAGCACCCGATTCATGTATAAATATGTATGTACTTAGTGCATTTTCTAATGAAATAAATTTTGTTAAAAGGGCTTTTTCTTAATGTAGGAGATCTTATGTGTTCTTGGGAAGGTTGCTTGTATGATCTAATGAAGTGTTTTCGATTTGGTGTGGAAACATTACATCCATGCTTTGATATGTGAGTGGAATCTACTGGTCAAATTTAGTACTTCTGCCCTTGTGTTTCTTATGTGTTTATCAGTAGATATGTGATATAGTCTGTGACAAGATAAAGCATTAGAATCAAATAGATAATGCCTACTTTGTGGGATGTCTTATGGTAGCCTCTTAGGATATTGCGATTTTTAAATTACAAACTGATTTCCTCCCCAATTTTAAAAACGTTGATGATGTGTTCTCAACTTACCTGCTCAACCTGGTATTTTTCCAGAAACAGTTCGTATCCTCCTGATAGTACATTGTTAGTTCATCATTTTTACAATTAGGGCTGGCAAGCTGACATTATTACAGTTGCCTTTTAATTTTAGCCAAGATTTTCAAACACATTTGTCTCCCACTTTTTGCAATTATAATTTCTAGTTATAATTATTTTTAAAAACTGGTTCCAGGACCCCATGGATACCAAAATCTGTGGACACTCAAGTCCCTTATATAAATGGCATACTGTTTGCATATGACCTGCACACATCATCCCAGTATACTTTAAATCCTTTCTAGATTACTTATAATAATTAATACAGTGTAAAAGCTCTGTAAATAGTTGTTATAATGTATTGTTTAGGGAAAAATGACAAGAAAAAATATGATTGTTCAGTACAGAGGCATCCATCCTAGGCCTAACGACATTGTACATGTCGGCAACATCTAACTCCCCCCACCCCGAATATTTTTTCTCTCTGGTTGGTTGAATCTCAGCTGCAGAACCAGCAGATACTGAGGGCTGAATGTATAGCAACTTGGTTTTGAAGGATGGGCAATGGCATTGTTCATTGTATTATATGTTGCTATATTACAAATTACCCCAAAATATAATGGCTTAAAACAAACATGCATTGTCTTAGAGTTTCTGAGGATCAGGAATCCTGGAACAGGTTAGTGAGATGTTTCCGATGCAGGGTCTCTCATGAGGTTGTAATCAGGCTTTCAGCTGGGGCTGCATCTTTTGACCTCTTGACCAGGCCTGGAAGATCCATTCCTATGAAGGCTCACTCACAAGGCTGTTGGCTGGAAGTCTCAATTTCTTGCCATGAGGGCCTCTCCCCAGGGCTTCCTAAGTGTTCTCAAGATGTGGCAGTTGGCTTCCTCCAGGACAAGTGATGACATAGTCTAAGCTGGAAGCCACAATCTTTTATTACCCAGTCTTAAAAGAGACGGTCCATCTCTTTTGCCCTGGGTACATTGTAGGAGGCTACTGTACAGGGTGTAAAACCAGGAGGTGGAAATCATTGAGAGGCATCTTAGAGGCTGCCTTCCACACTTATTTAAGGTGTTGTAATTAATGTTTACTGGAGAATTTTATGTTTGTGTAGAGAAGAATTGGCTTTCAGGGAGGCACAGTAAAATATTTGAGTTGAAAAAAAGGAGCTTCTTAGGGAATATTTTTGTTAAATGTGTACTTAAGATATTTTAAAAATGAGATTCTTTTTACATATAACAAATAAGAGATGTATTGAGGTGAACATAGCAGTTTTTCTATCAATGTTAGATCTTAATCACCTTGCATTTCTTTTCTTTTTCACTGTATAAGTAGTAGCTGTATACTTTTAGGTTTGCTTGATACCATTTATCTACATCCACATAGACACATCATATAATTCTAAACTATAATCTTGTAGTTCCTCATCTTTTGTGATTATTTAAGGTAGATGAAGAGCTTTGTTTTGAGAACTTGCCATATGGCATAAGGGACCTTTGTTAAGTGAAAGGCTGGAAGATAAAAAGCTGATATTGAAGTGGATGCCTAGATTTTTCATGGAGTTTTGATCCACTAAGGATCTTGTACTCTTAAGGAGAGTATCTCCATTTTTCTCAGCCATTTTGTTCAGGATTATGTGAGAAAGTAGCAACTTTGTTAAGCTATTAACCTCTGGGATGAATTGGAAATAATTTTGGCTTTTGCTCAAAGAAAATAAGAAAGAGGGCAAGGAAAACATTTCATTCTCCAAAATAAGATATGTGAGTAAAGATATTTCAGTGCCTTGGTTGAAACAATAAGAATAAGGAAAATGTAGCCCCAATTAGACCCAGCAAGAGAAGAGCCAGGCTGAGGACATGAAGTGTGAATTGAGTCAGGAGGAGTGAGATATCTAATAAGCTGAGAGCTTCACTATCTTGGGCCTAGATAAGTCACATGAAGCTTTGCCATAATCAATTGTTTTACCAATATGGAAAGAACCTAATATATTAGTATATTCCAACAAATTTACTTCCAAATACTTTGAAGTTACTGGGCATATCGGAGTGGCTACTATTACTAGAGATTACTGCCAGTAGAGAACAGATAACACAAATAAGATTTTTTTCCCA